AAAATATACAAAATAGTACAAAATTATCAAAACTTGCGTTATACTGAAAGATATATTCTAATTTTTAAATGTTTCGATAATGAGTAATTATATTTACATAGTTCTAAAATACATAGCCAGTTTCCTTAATGAAGTTGGAGAACTAATGACAGAGATTTTCCTTTGGGTTTTAAAATTTACTTTTGAAAATTTTATGTTAATAGATGATATTACTAATATTTACAAGATGAAAATGAATTTTTAAAGTGGAAAACTGTTGTCCGATTTATAAGTGTTATGAATAAGCCACACATTTAGCTATCTAAGCAACTGTTTACAGCTCAACACATGAACTACTCTGATTTCAATTGTTTCAGCAACCATGTAACATGAAATTCCTAAATTGTGGTAACTGATGTATACAATCACCAATCATATATTTTATAATTTAAAGTTGATATTCATATTAATCTTATCTAGCAAAGAACCAGCCTCCTACCCTTCAGATTCTTCAGTCTTTTCTCCACCATTATGAGTAGTACAATTTTCACTTTCTGAAGAACAATTCCTTGTGGAAGCTATACTATGTTTTCCTTAAATACAGAAACAAACACATACAAAAACAAAGGGGGGAGGTTAGCATTTCTAGCTGAGAATGGGTTTTTACTTATTGAATGGTTATACTATAAATGTATGGTTTCCAAAACTAGTTAAAGATGGTACTTTGTCAGGCGCCTTAGTACTTCTAAAAGTATATGGAAAAAGCAATACAAAAAAAGGATCACAAATTGCTAACATTACACTGAAGATTTAAAAAATACTGATATGGTGTGAACAGATGGGGTCAAATGTTCAAAATCCTACAATATAGCTTCTCCTCCTGAAGCAAATTTTTATATCGATACTCTGCTGCTGCTGAGATTAAAATAGTTCACTACACTCTAAGATTTCTAAAGCCAGTTATTATTTCCAATGTAATTGTGGAAAACATCTCTTCTACCCTGCTTCTGTGTCATCTGAAGCTACTGTTGACTCCAATAAAGGGGAGGTGGGAAAAAGATAACACGAGGGACAAAGGAAGATTCTCTCAGTGAAAGAAAATTAAGTAAAAGGTATAGGTCAGGTCCCTTCAAAATTTATGACATTGCTAGCCTAACAGACTGGAGTAGTACGTTTTGACATAGTAAAAAGCTTTTTGTAGTAATAGTGTTTGACCTGTAAATTAACATTTAAATTTTTTTTCAAATATAATTAAGACAAATTTCTAAAGTTAACGAAGATACAAATACTAACAGATTTTTCTATTAATGTTTCTACTAGCCTAAAATAAAGAAAAGTTGACTGGAATGCATAATATTTTGCAGAATTACCGTAAGGACAAGTACTGCATTTTGTTTTTAAAACCTTACCTGTTTTAGAAACTGCATCCTGACCAATTGGAGTCTCCTGAAACTCTCCCTGTGTGTCAAGAAGCGAGGACTTGATATACGTGGCTAAAGTTTCAACAGGGCTCTCTCCAGCAGCCATTAGGAGGCTATACTGGTTGTCGACGGGTGAGCTGCCACTGCTCTTCAGTTCATCAAACCTCTTTGCACACTGTGATGATACAGGGGAAGGAAATGCAAATCTGGGGGGGTTTAATATCATTTTTTATATGTGAATATAATCTGCTAGGCAACAACTAGAAAATTAGCACACATTTTGATACACAAAGCCTCTGACAGATTTTTTCTTTTTCAAGATTCAGGGTAGAATTTTCTTTAATACGCTTTAACCCAATAGCATAATATGTTTATGCTCTCGTAGAAAAATGAAGAATGCCTTTATGAATCATATTTCCCCATGGTCTACAGCTATTATTAGTTGACAATTTTAATAATTTATTTAAAAACCTGGTTTTTACTTTTACATCAACTTTCTACCAAAAACAAGACCAAATTCTAACCTTCAATGGAAATTAAACCAAAAAGCATCTGATTTGTGTACTAGATTTTCTTTATTAAAGTAATGAAGTCTTTGTTCTTACTAATAGTGAGTTTCGCCTTGCACAAAACACTGTAGTAACACTTCATGGCCACGTATTTGGGCACAGTTGTTCTAGCTCAGTGTTTTACCTTAACCCATCATTAGTCATGGAATCAATTTAGAGGGTCCAGATAAGCAATTCAAAAAAAAAAAATACAAAAGATTAGAAAATATCAAGAGTGGATTAATCATAGTAAGGTTAAGTAGTCTGTCATGAAAATGTCATTTCTAAGAGTGCACTGCAGCATAACACAAAATGCCTTCCTTAATGTGGGTCTTGGTCAGACAACAGTGATACAGCACTCATGTTTAAATCTCCATCAACATCATATTGGATGGCAAGTTCCACAACTGACCAAGTAATCTGGGAGGTGCAAAAGGAGAAAAATACATTCCATGTATATGTGTATATGTTAACTGAATAATGTACTGGGTATGGCATCATTCATTTATTACACAAATATTTACCAAGTACCCACTAGATATTAAGCACCATTTTCAGCAAGGATTGTTAAATAATAGTACTATAGTACTATTATCATAAAGAAATGCCTAATCCAAGCTTAGTCCTTTCAAAAGGCATTTAAAAGATACGTAAGTGACCAAAAGATTATAAATCATTATGTATGTCCGTCTCTTTAAACAAAATCTTAAAACTAAATACAAATAACTAACATGATAAATGAGAAACAAAAAACATTTTCTGTATGAGGATAGAAAAAAGTAGTGATGAAAGTCTGGGCAAAGGAAAAAAGGCTGCAACACAATTAGAGAAATGTACAGATTCACAGGTACATGTATAATGTATACGATAAAGAACAAAAATGGCTTAACTGAATATTTTCCTAACAAAATGAGTTTATTTTTTATAACACAGAGAAAGTGGTATGTAGGCTTTTAAAACAGATTATTTTGGTATCTTTTAGGTAAAGCTTATAGATATATTGGAAACTGAGTGTAGATTTATCTTATTTAACAAAGCTTGTAATTTCTAATACTTAAGAATAAGAAAATTATGAATCCTGAATATTTGAAATGAATACATGATTGCTTAAACAGAAAAGCAGTGGCCAGTGAATAATTTAAACTATACTGTTAAATGTTCTTTTGTGTTTAAGCAAAAATTACATGACATCTACATGCAAAAGAATAAGGTTTGATCCCCTACCTCACACTACATACAAAAATTAGCTCAAAGCAGATTAAAGACTAAACATAAGAGCTAAAGCCATAAAATTCTTAGAAGAAAATAAAGGTATAAATCTTCATGACCCTGAATTTGGTAATGGTTTCTTAGATATAATACTAAAAGCACAAGCAACAAAGAAAAATTAGTTAAACTAGACTTCATTAAAATTTAAAACTATGTACTTCAAAGTACACCATCAAGAATACAAAAAGACAACCTGCAAAATAGGAGAAAATACTGCAAATCACATATCTGACAAAGGACTTGTACCTGGAATATATAAAGAACTTTTACTATTCAATGATAAAAAGACAAATCACACAGTTGAAAAATGGGCAAAGCATATGAATAAACATTTCTCCAAAGAAGCTCCCATAAATCCATTAAAAGATACTTGGTATTATTGGCCATTAGGAAAATGCAAATCAAAATCATAATGAGTTAACACTTCACACCCACTAGAATAGCTGTAATAAAAAAGACACTAAAAGTGTTGGCAAGGATGTGGAGAAATTGGAACCCTCAACATTGCTGGTCAGAATGTAACGGTGTAGTCAATACGGAAAATTTACATATGTTATTTCAGCTAAGGTAAACACTTACCTAGAAAATCTTGGAGAAAGGGAGGGGAGAAAACAAAGAAAATCTTAATTCATTCTTTTTCCACTTTCAAAATACCAACAGGTCAACTTTGACATGGAAAAAAATTTATAATCCAGGAGATTAAGAGAACATTCATAAAACTTTAAAAAAAAAGTTTTTTTTGTCTACCAGACAGTAAAATAATATTGAAAGGAAGTCAATATGAAACTGTCAATATGATTAGAATTTACAGGTTTGCTGTTTTTAAAACTTAACATGTAAAAATCCAAAAGGTGAAAAAAGTATGGATTAGGGAGTAATAACACAGACTAAATAATAAGTTCCCTCATCACTTCACAAAGACCTATAACATAACCGACGGCAAGTAATCTCTGTGGGTACTGGTTTTCTCAGCTGTAAAAGAAGAGAGTGGAACTTGGTTCATTCACTGATCCCAGAAGTATTTATTCAGTATGTATGATGGGCCAGGCAAGTGGTGAATATGCTTAAAACCAACTGGGTAAAATCACTAATGTCATTTCTACTTCCAGGTGATTCACCCATTTTAGGATTCCCTTTAACAGCAAAAATTCTGAGGTGTTTCTCAAACTAGGG